ACTGACTTACAACTGTTTCTCGTTTTATTGCCAGCCAGATAGATACAAGCCTACAAAATGCATTCGAATGTGAGTATATGCATAAAACTAATTGTTATGTAAATCTTCAAAAGTGTCCGACGAAAGGGTATTTAAGTTATTTAACTTATTTTATTTCCAGTAAAGTTATTCACAAACTCAACTCAATTGACACAATTAGATCAAATTAAACATCAGACTGATAAACTTTCAATATGGCCGAAATTGTTTTCTTAATAATGGACGATTCTAAATATTTAGTTTATAATTAAAATCAACGATATAGTGATACAGCACGTCAGTCATTACTCGATCGGTGTGATTTAGTTTCCGAATAATAATTATGACGTTCAAACGGTCTCCGTCCTGTTTTATAATAGACATAAGTTATGTCGACATGGCCTGGTACAGATTTTTTTAAAGATTCTATGTTTCTCCATCAAAACCATGATACAACACGCCATGTCCCACTAATATATATCAACATGACCACATATAAATTATCACGGACCACGGCATCTCGGGGGTCAATTCAAGCTTCCATATATACCAATACAAATTTAGGACGATATGAAATTATGTTTTTGAAACTCTGAACTGTAAGTTTATGTCTGCGCTGACCCAAATTAAACCTAAGATTTAGGGCTTAAGTTATTTTTTGTAATGTTTTGGTGATCCGACAGATAGGTCAGATGTTACGAAATTACGTAGACTTTTGTTATAACTCGTTTGAAGGTTGTTTTCAAAAACACTACACTGTTAGATTTCCAGGTTTGTCTTCATTAAATATGTTTGTTTTCGTATCAAATGAATAACAAAGAAAACTTAAAACATACACTTATTATACGCCGGCGCACGGTGGACGTCAATTTAATATGACGTCACAAATAATGTCAACGCTTCTCAAAATAGTCGCCGTTGCACTCCATGCAACGTTAGTGGCTGGAAATCCACTGGTTTTATATAGACCTATATCAGTCATCATTGTACTGACCGACAATTGTTGTTGGCATTACGTTTTCTCCAAGCGTCTGGAACCATATTTCCATATAATCTGGATAAAATTCATTCTTTGATACATATTTGTTTACAACTACGTATACATGTGTTATCAAATTGATTTTACATGAATGTGAGTATTAATGCATCTCTACCTTTGACATAATTTATTTGTGTATGTTAGAATTCCGTGAACTGTGGCAACACCCAGGTTAAACATCTCCGCCAGCTCAGAGACGGTCAAACGTCAATCATCTTCCAAGGCGCTTTGAATTGACACAACCACATACCTTGTGATGTATGACTTTCTTCCTCTCCAACTGTCATCTATTATTTCTCTACCGGTACTTAAGTGTCTGTGACATTTGAAAACCAGTGCACGATTAACGACACCTGCATGTTCATTATTTTGAAAGTTTCGGACTGTGTATGACACAGATCCTGACAAAATTTTATAAATCTGAGAAATTCTGATGATGACATCTTGATGCTATATCTATGTATGATCTGTCAGTGTGTTGTTTTTATCAGTTACCGACATTGGAATGTCAAACATAGTCACAGTGAGGTCATTAAAACGTCCATTTATAGTTGACGGAATCTTTTAAAAATAAATCTACCGCAAAATATAATCAGTCACTTTTATTGTTCAGTAGACATCTGTAAATTTCGGATTGCCTGGGTTGCTGTCACTATGGCAAGTCACGGGCATCTGCAATCCTATTATTATGGTACATATCGATGTGGTATGCATTAAAACAAGTATATCAAGTGTAACTTATTGTATTTTCCTGTGTCGCGTTAGGATTTAACGAAGAAAATGTACGTACTTTGTGAATATTCCTCGTATACGTTTTATTTTATATCATAAGTGCATGTACTTTTTAATACAAAGTAGCTCCGCAAATATTTCATAACTAAGAGGTCTATTGTCTAGAAATACAGTACAGTATCTTTATTATAATGTAGCAAGAGCACTGCATAGGCGGGCAATATACGTCCGAATACAAATTTGTTTTCAATAATCAAAATTTAATATTTCAATTTCAAAAAAAATAATTAGACAGGAGACTTATTCATTACACTTTTTTTGTCCAGAACATGTTTTATTTCAAAACAACAATATGTCCCTTCAACCAAAAAAATAATGGTCATTTGACTCATTTCTTTTAAATTGTGAATAAAGTTGCGGTCCATTATCCGTTATCCATATAACATTGAAGCAATACATGTTTAATGTCTGTTTCAATGTTGATCGGCATAATCTGTTCATCTATTCTAGTAAATATGACTCTCTATTGAGTGCAGTCATTTTAACATTGTTCGTGAATTAATGTGAATTCTGTCCGCTTGAAATAATTGCACGAAAATTGTGTGCGAGTACAATTTGCCCACACCTTGAACTACTACAAAAGCTTATATGCCATGTAAATATTTTCTAGAGTTTTATATTTTCAACCAGAACATAATTATATTATTTTTATTTAGATATATTTATTATTTAGTGTGTTTTTATCAATTTATCTGTTCTTAACATGTTATCGTCGCAAAAGTCAGATACAGTTACTCGTATTTTCTTCAAAATTGTCTTCTTACATGACGTAAGAAGACAGTTCGCTAGGTCAAACAACAATTTATCCTCGGTTTTGCCTCAGACAACTGTGAGGAATTGTAAAAGTTTGAACATTCTAAGACGATATAAGAGATAATTAATTACGAAAATACATATAATGCTGTTTTTATGTTAAACCTATGTTTGTTTCGTTTTTCTTCAGGAAGGAATATGTCACGTGTTACGATATGGGAGACAACTCTGTCATGTTTACTTGTGAACATAACGCATAAGTTACTGTACTAGCAATCATGTATCTGCATGAGGCCCCTGTGAGATCTTTTTTTTTTTTTTTTTTTTTTTTTTTTTTTTTTTTTTTTTTTACAAAAAGCGTGCCGCTTTTGCATCTTCGTGAAAGCCGTATTGCACGATTGTGCATACATTTGATGTGACATTATTTGTGTTACACAGACATATTGTAAAGACGCGCTACGCGTCAATGAAAAAGGATTCTTTTACAATTTAAACAGTCTTCAATTTGGAAATATGATAAATAGAATATTATGTTCGTGTAGGTTAAAAACTTAATTTATTGAACTCGATCAATTTATTCAAGACAAACCATATAGTTCGCCGAAGGAGAAGAATTCAATGAGACTCGTCTTTCATTTTTATCCTTTACCATTATGTAGATTTTTAAAAAAATTTATTGTGTATTTACATGAACATGGTATACACTTTGGGTAATAGATATGTTCAAAGCAATAAATTCAGTATTGAACCTACACTCATGCAATATCCTGTATCTAGAAATATATATCTATACCAATTTATTGGTTATTTCTTATGACACAAAAACACTTTGTAAAAGCCCAACAGAAAATGGCGGTTCTATAAATAATTTATTTCAAAGGATACTGCTAATAGTAATTGATACATTTAACTTATTTTAGTTTGATTGTGCAGGATGCTTGCAGCATATAGACACACTTTCGACTCCGTACTATAAGGCACCTAGTACTGAGTATTGACATCAAATTTTCTAACTCAAGAAAACAACGACCAGTCCCTGACTAAGCACTTTGTAATACTGACACGGTGTATTTTACTTTAAAAAAGGTAATGTATCCTCTATCAAAATTTAAATGGATTGTGTAATTAAGCAAGACAATTAAAATAGAACCGTTTCTTTTAAGTTTTTTAAGAAAACTATTTAGCCGTATACGTGAAGGAAAATATCTTTAATTTGATAAGAGATATCAATATTTTAATCAAATAAAAAACGATCTGCACGATTTTAGCTACGGAAAATGTCGATCGAATCACCCTTATGTTCTTATAGTCCTACATTTGTCATGCGATTATTTCATCACTGATGTAAGTTTCATCATTTGACAATACATTATCAAGGTATTCTAACATAATTTATGAAATTATACTGAAATATAAATATAGCATTTTCTGCTGTTAAAATATCAAACAGTTTAGATAAGGAAGGACACGTCTGCTTTGTTAAAAAATAACTTTCATGCTTCCTTCTTCTAAGGTAGGGATTCATTGCTTATATAAGTATTTACGATTACACATACGTGAATAATCTATTTGCTCAAAAGAAAAACACTTAAAAACTAAATTGGAAAAAACTGACACATCTGAAACGTTTATATTTGACAAAGCCAAAGTTTTCCTTCTCCACATAATGTTATTCATTCAAAACAATTGATTGTTAGTAACATAAGTCGAGCATTATTAAAAAGCGTTTACAAATATTATTGCGTTTGTCATTATAAAATGCCATTCTAGAAAGGGAAAGGCCTTTGCTGTCACATATATCGTATAACAACATATTGCTTTTAGAAAATGCCATTCTAAAAAGGGAAAAGCCTTTGCTGTCACATATATCTCATAACAACATATTGCTTTTAGAAAATGCCATTCTAAAAAGGGAAAAGCCTTTGCTGTCACATATATCTCATAACAACATATTGCTTTTAGAAAATGCCATTCTAAAAAGGGAAAAGCCTTTGCTGTCACATATATCTCATAACAACATATTGCTTTTAGAAAATGCCATTCTAAAAAGGGAAAAGCCTTTGCTGTCACATATATCTCATAACAACATATTGCTTTTAGAAAATGCCATTCTAAAAAAGGAAAAGCCTTTGCTTGCACATTATCATAACAATGTGTATAAAAGCATTTTGCCACTATATAATACCGTTTTAAAGAATCAAAAGCCTTTCCTCTAAAACATATTATAAACATTTTGCAAGTATAAAGTATCGTTTTATAGAGTCAAACGCTTTTGTTGTCGCATATATTACAACATTTTGTCATTATAAATTATAAATTTCCGGTCTCCTTTGCCGCCAAACGTTTGATAATAATTTAAAGTATCGTTTAAAGAGGCAAATATCCTCCACATTAAAAGTCAAACACAAAGTCGGGTATACAGTTGAACATTCGGATTGAACTGAGGTGCACTTGGAGCAGCATCCTTTGCCATATTAAGACTCACAGATGATCTGGTACACATATGTACACCATTATCTTTCCATGCCTCAAACGAGGAGCAGATAGGATCCTCAGCACAAGCTGTTTCGCAGTCATTTGGACTTGAATATATTGTAGCTTCTTCAATATCGTTAAAATTGACAATAACTCTATTCCTTATCTCTTGAAACGTATCTGACATAGAATTGCAGACTGGAAATATAACGGTAAATTATGTTAATGTTGATATTTCAAAGTAAGTGGCAAAAGAAGACCTTCCTAATTAACTTAGTTGCCTTTAGAAGTTGAATTGAACAATCTTGTTAACCTATTTTTGGTATGCCGCCTGTTTCGGTAATACTTTATGAAAATTATACCAATGTACATAAAATGTTAGAAAATTTTTTGTTGATTTAAAAACTGTAATTAAATAATCGTTAATTTCCTCTTCGTTTTTCAGTATCTGTTTGACGTGTTTTTAGTGCTTCCAGTGCACCGATTGACAGTGATGTGTGATTATCCTTCTGGTGACATTTAGTTCTCATCGAAAAAAAAATGTTCAAGTTTAGATTCAGTGCTCTTTATTCTGACAGAAAAACGGTATACAAATTTTGCTGAGATGATACTCAAACCAAATGCATAAGAGGGGAACTTAAAGGCGACCAATATAACAAAATTGGAAATGTTGCTCGCTCGTTTCCATGTTCATTCATTTCCCCTAAACATTTAAGTATAAAAATAGTTAAACATATAATTTAAAAATATCTGCTGATATTTTTACATTGCGTACATCATAGAACCTTCAATACGATACGTTCATTTTATCTAAAAATCTATAAAGTTTTGTCGAGGTATTAAAGAATACACATGTATAAGCCCTTAATAAAATACAATGGGTGAAATGAGATTAAAAATAATTAAATTTTGAAAAGGGATTACTAACCTTTTAGACAGTTTTTGTAAGAAGTGCTGTATCTGTGCAGTGGATGACAGAAACATATTCCTTCAATACATCTTCCTTCTGTTTCAATGCAATCAGCATCTGTGTCACAACGACTACCAATTGTAGGTGCCATAGGGAAGTCTGTGCTAGTTTGCGTCTGAACTAGAGATTGTCAGAGAAAATGTAATTAAAGGCAATGAGTTTATTTACATAACGGGATAGAATAATGTTCGAGATTAGTGTACCTTCTGATGTAGGTATGGACCAATCACTTGTGTTCAATTTTTCAGACCATTCGCTCATTCGAACACCATGTCCTACTCACAGTTCTTGTTTCCAAAAATAATCATTTTTAAACGCTGTCAACTCCAATCAAGGAAAGAGTATACTCTTTATAATACAGTGCAGTTTACGTTTGAATTATCTCCGTTGATCTATGTAAACGGTCTTTTAAAACGTATTTCTGTTTTCCATGTAAATTGAAATAACTATTGCGTATTTCTTCATGTTATTCAAGTGAAATACAAGTTAAATGTTGATGCTGCATATCAAAGACGCCGCCAAATGATGTGAACAGTCACAGGTAATGTACAAAATCTGAATAGAAAATCGTTTTCTATTACAGTTGAATATCTGAAGCACTAATCAATTTTTTCTCCATGTTCTTGTTATGTGTCTGAAAGACTGAAATGTTCATTTGTTGCGACAATGATTGTTAACGTGTGGTCGGAGCAAAATAAATTGAATAACAAGAAAATTTGAAATTATTGGTAAACTTAAAATGAATTCAAGACAATATATGCCGAGAATATGTGTGGGAATTGCATAATGTTCCTTCGAATGAATTTGAGGACGAACTGTCTCTTATTTTACAAATAGCAAAAATATGTCTGTAATATCAAATAATAGTTATGAATAAATTGATATTTATATATGTATAATCAATTCTTAGTTTCGTTTTTTTTTCTTATTTATAAAAGATTAAACGGCTTGATTAAACTTAAGATTACATATTCGACTAGAATCTAGGTATAGACCACTAAATGTAGTGAAAAATCAAGGTGAAAGAGAACAATTGTCAGTCTCAGAATCCATCAAAATAACCTATTGCAAATAAAATTTGTGACACATTTTAGAATAAACTTACTTTTTTCAATAAGTTAATCTGTTTTATACTTCAATGTTAATTATTTTCATGAATTACATGTCGAACATGTTTTGCCTGTTTTGCAAAAAATATTTCCGCTGTGTCCGTATCGCCAATAAAATCTCCTTTGCTTATTTTAATGATACCTCTTGTTCCCTGCCCGAATTTGGTTCCCATCATTAGACTAGAACGATCGACTATAGACTGGCTCATTGGCACGTTGTTTATTAGGTAGATAATAATAAAAAGAATATGATATTCAAACATGGCACTATCACTTCAGTTAAACGTTTATTTTAATCCCTTAATTAAAGCTCTGTGACATGTTGTACATCAGAAAAGCTTTTTCATTAGGAAATTTGAAACCAATGTGATTTTGTTAAACCAAGAAAAAAAAATGCACAAAATCAAGTCTAAAATTTTCTCCATTGCTATAAGAACAAATGCATATCTATTAGACGGCGCGTCTAATAATATAGTTATACATGTACAAACCGTCAAAACAAATTTCTGTTCATCAGGTGATAAAATCTCACATCCATTCTCATTAAATGTTGTACTTAAGGATAAAACAACACTTAAGTGAAATTTAATATACATGTACATGTAAACAATTTTAAAACATCCAAGAAATATGTTACGTATGTACTGTAAATTTGTATACGCATAATAAGTAATCATTAGTATTTACGCATTCATTTTTCGTTGAAAAATTTGGCTTAGACTTTATCGGAATTAAATTTCCTCCATTATCTGAAATGTAAATTCGATAATATCGTTATAAAAATTCAGCTTTTTGGAGCTTACAATATCGATAAATTTTCAATTTAGCATCATATTATTGAGATAAAACCATAAAGAAAATTGGATTTACAGAATCTTTAATGTAAAATTTAATAAATTCTATTAAATTCTCTATTAAATTCGTCCAACGCTTAACATGCATTTTCGACAGAGGCTAGCTTTATTATCATTCTTGAGTTCATATCATAAATTTATATGATATTGCAACTCACATATGATCTAAAACATGTATACTGTTTGTGTGCACTTGAATTTAAGGCCATTGTCTCAGCTTAATACATACATTAATGACAATGCCGTGGGCATTTTGTACCAGATGAATGTAGAACATTAATTGTGTGTATCTAATTCAGATCATAGTATCCCTAAAACATCTGCACTGTAAACCAAAATAAAGATATTTAATAATGCACCATTTTTGTGTGATAATAAGGTGATTATCCAACTCCATTGACTTAGTTAGGGTGCAATTCATCGAGACCGAATGCCAAAATAAATACGAAACAGGTCCTAAAACTCCTTATACTTGGATATTTACAGATATCTTCATACAATAATTGATCATACAATAAATAATTTGATCTATGACCACCATAGATTCTTTTTTCGGTATTTTTTCTAAGTTGTCCGAATTCCCTTTCAGAGCAAAGAAGCGCTAAAAGGCAGACGGAAAAGAAAGAGGTTGTTTTCCTGTTTTCGGCATTCGATCCCTTTCTGTAGCGTACAAATGATCATTACAAAACAGGCAAAAATGCGTTTTATTTCGTCCTGTCTGAATCAGTATTTTACGCAAGATGTTTATTTTATGTAAGGTTGATTTTGACTAACAGGAAGGTTAATATAACTTGCTACTGAACGTTCATCGTAACACGAAGCAGTTGATAGTAGTTATTAAATAATATACTGTGCCAAGTATTAAAGTCCCTACCAACAATCAATGTCAAAAAACACACTAAAAAGAAACAGTGCATTTCAGTAACCTTTAATTACCTATCAAAATATTAACTATATTCCCGTGTACACTTACCGGTAACACATAAACTGTATTCATTCCAAACTCCAGTGTCCAGGCACACAGCAAACGGGCCATTCAACGCCGTGTAACCCGCTTTACATTCATATCGGATATTTTTTCCGACTCCCCTCTGGTTACCAAGAATGACACCGTCTTGAGGAATTGTCACATTAATACATTCTACAAAACATACTAGAATAATATACTTGTTATTTATTATATCTGTATTTTGTAAAGACAGTTTCACTTTCGGAAACTATTTTGATAAGAGTTTCTCTAACAAAGTCATCAGTTTTTTTTCTTCTTTTTTTTTAAAGATATTTTCCGAGCATATTTACTTAATGTATCAATAACAGTTAATAAGTATTTGACACCTTTATTTTATTTTTTTCTTAGAAAGAGTTAACCTATCAAATTAATCGACAGGCCATGTGTCATCGATATTCCTATTACTCTCCGGTTTTTTAAATTTTTAAATTTTTGTTTCATTGATTTGTGTAAATTACCTTTTATTTTACAAACACCTGTATTTTGATTGCTGGTTTCACAAACTTGCCCATAATGGCACCCGTTTTGGCATGGAGTCTAAAAAACAAATATGTAAATGTTTTGTGGTTTTATATATTTTCTTTCATTTCAAAGATCTAGTCAGGTTGACTCAAAGGCAATCATCTATCATTTTGTTTTATTATATCTGGATCTTTGTACCTATTAATGTAGACGGACTCAAATGGAATCATTCAATTTACGGATTCCAAACAAATCAACGAATTTAAGGAAACCTATTGATGTTTTTAAAGAAACAACGTGACAGCAGAACACCAAAAAGCATACAGAAAATAAATAATCTTAAAAAGACATTTACTTACCTGCACAATATCGACAGTTTCCTTCGCGATAAAGATACAATTTCCAGGACGAAGATTGCTCGCATTCCAAATGGAAAAAAGTTCACACACGTGCAATTTGCTCCTGTAACTTAAGGCCTGACAATGAGCACGTGCACTACATTCTTTGACACACTGGGAAATTGAAATTTCCAAAATATAATTAAATCGGTCTTTTTCTAGGTGGCATCTTTTTTCAAACTTAAGAGGGTATCTTATCTCAAAATTATCCACATTCATGTGGACATAGGCATATACCACGTGGATTAAAACAATAAGAGAGTACAGTATCTTCATGATGTGAAACTGAAAACACTGTTTAGTCCAAATAATCATACATTCAGTCTAGTATCAATACACTGGAAGCGGTTCTTGTAAAATATTCCATGTCTAACTGATTATCCCATTTTCAGGGCTTTTACATTGTAAAGAAAATCTTAAAAATGAATACAAAGGAAACAAAATTTCATTTTTATATTCTTTACATTCAATGTTGTTTTTAAAAGGTCCATAGCCGGTGTTTTCCGGTCTATCTGATGTTGGAACAATATATTTCCACGTAACGACGGACGGTTTGATTCATACAAATTCGATAGTTATGTTTTTTGATACTTGATTTCACAGCATGATTTTTTTATCGTTAACATTCAATTTTATTTAAAAAATTTTAAAATATCCTGTCTATTTGACTTTGACAATTCAAACAATATCTTTTTACATCACGGTTGCAGGTAAAAGATTTAATTCAAACACTGTCATCGATTTGTGCAAAGAGATTCGATTTCGCAGCATGAAGTTTCAATCAAAAACAAACTTATGTCGGAATAAGCAGGGTTTTTTTCTCGTGCTAAGTGTCACAAAGCAGTATGCAATATTAAAATTAATAATGTTTTTCATAATACTTCCATTTGAACTTTGAGATGAATTTCGTAAGTAAATAAGTGACCATATTTGGACATTTATTAATTTAACAAGAAAACTAGACCGGTGTCAGGCCTGGTATTACTAAGCATTGAATTATTTACGAAGGGAAATGTTTTTATATTTGCTTGAAATGTTTTAACCGGAAGTATTGGCTTTACATTAGTTGTTAAATGCATGGGAAAAATCATTATAGATATTTCAGATCTTTCTCGTTAAAAGAATTTTTAAACTCAGATGAATCATGCATTTTTCCCCTTCGATATTATATGTTTATTTTGTTAATTGACTTTCATATTTCTTGGAATATACGTAATCACTTTGTTGTCTTTACCCTCATTAGCTTCATTTACGAAAAAGTTAAAGTATTTACAAATTGCCATTACCGTAAACAAGAGCCACCACTGGGCGTGGGCAACGCTCGACTATTTTTCACTTTTTCTAAAAACAAACGAAAGGTTTAAACAAATCTTAAAAAGAAAATTAAAGATAAAAAATAGTTTTTCCCTTTTTTCATTTCATTAGATAGGTCTTGTCACATTAGTTGTTTGATCTCAGTACGAATCATTTCCATATTGTTTAATGATCAATTTTACATCAAATAGTGCATATGGTTTAATTGCATAGCCAAGAAAGTACATGTAGGTCATTTAGTTAAATTATCTGGTTCAGCTGATATCAAAGTTCAATCCTACATCTTAAACTGTGCATGGTCCAAACTTCATAGCTGCACACCAAAAGACAAGAAAGTAGGTCATTTCGTCAAATTAGGTAAGCGGATGTCAAATTTCAAAAAAAAAATGTACATATGGTCCAAATTGCATCGCAGGGCATCAAAGGACAAGAAAGTAGGCCACTTCGTTAAATTATCTAGGTCAGCTGAGATTAAAGTTAAGAATTCGGTAGGTAGCTTTGTCAAAGTCTATGTCAGCTGATATCAAAGTTCAATCAGAATGGAGCATTTAAATAAATAAGCGTCAAAATACTCTGATGCGTAGTCTATGTGCTCACAAATATTGTAAATTAATCTATTGTAGTTTTCTATTTTTTATCCCCCGAACATGTATATTTTGGGGATTACACGCGTTTTAGGTATCAAAGCAAGACGGACGAACATGGGCAAATTATAATCACTAGGGTGGTGGAACAACGTGACTTTGTATAGTAATACAAACTGGTAATGACGACTTCTATGCATCGGTAAGTTCAGTATTTTTATACATTTAGGTGAGAAACGTTTCCTGATTGTAATCCCCCCGTGATTAAGTGGTGGGGAGATAAAAAAAACTGACATATTCCATAAATTTATTTTCACAATACAACATTTTGTGATTATACAGTAACGTAATGAGAACTGAGATTAAACACATTAAACACATAGTCGTGTATAAAGTTGTACATTTTGAATAGATTGAATTGCACTTGGAGCAGCATCTTTTGCCATATCCAGGCTCACAGATGATGTGGTACACATCTGTACACCATTGTCTATCCATTCCTCAAACGAGGAGCAGTCAGGATCCTCAACGCATGCTGTCCTGCAGTCATTTAGACTTTCATACATTGAAGCATTTGCAATTTCGTTGTAAAAATGTATTATCATCTTCGGAAACACTTCGAACAACTCTGACATAGATTGACACACTGACAATAAAAAATAATATCTATATATAAAATTGCCTTCTAATATTGTCAATGTAAATTTGTTATAATACATGACAAAATCAGTAAGAGGTTATGACCTTTCAATTAACTTTGTCAATAATATTCATCTCTACAGTCGTTTAATTAATAAAAAGTATCGTCGCCGTTCCTAGACGAGCGTACTCCGTCTGCCCTTAGCCAATCAGAATTGAGAATTTAATACCGCACGATTACAAAATTGACGACAGAAAATCAAAAGTTCTCAAATGAGGCTCGCTATGTGTTTGTCGAGTTACCTTTACATAGAATTTAAGTAAATTGAATAAATCTCAGTTACAAAATTGATACTAGGTATCGAGAGTATAGGCTTCTGTTGGTTAAAGCAATTTTCCGAATACTTCTCTTAAAAGGTGAAACATCTATTGTTCAGGACGGAGTCTATTTCACGAAATAAAAACATTTCGAATACCTGACAGAACATTTTTGGAAATGCTCATTCTTGGTAATCTTAAGTGTCACTCGATTGCAAGTGCGCAATGGGCATATACATCAAAGTTATTTTGCACATTAAATAGTCACATCTTACACTGTATAAAGGTTATTCATAGAATGGAATTGATTGTATAATATGTGTATAAAGACTTAGAGATTTGTAAATGCAAATTTAGTTAACGTATGAACATAACGTATTTTGACAAGCAAACATACGTGTGTTTGTTTTTAATGCGTATGAAAATGAATTATCAAATCATTTCACATTTTGTGAATGTTCGATCGAGGATATATTCCACATTGTACACGTTGCCTTAGCTCGAATTGACATTCCTTGACCGTAAGATGACTTCATGACTTATGGATGTGAAATAAGCTAAAACGGTAAAATCAAGGTTCAAACGAAACCAAATTTGTTTTACCTTTTTGCAGTCTTTGTATAAAAGTTGTATCGATAGAGTGGATGACAAAAACAGGTTCCATCAATACATCTTCCTTCAGTTTCTAAGCAATAGTTGTTAGTGTAGCAACGCTTTCCAATTGTAGGTCCGGTAACATGATATCAGCAGATTTTTTTAATTTTGATTGTGGTGCCAATATTATTTTATAAACGATTTTACCGCAATTCATATAATGCAGTGTACCATCTGAAACAAGCAACTTGCCAATTTTGCATACGTTATCCGGTGGTTTGTTGCGGTATTTTAAGCTATATCACTAAAGGGTGATCCAGTCGTTATTACCATAAGATAATATTCTGTCACTTTGTTATTGTCGTCATTGTAACCAGGCAGCTGTGCTACAAACGCATGTGAGGTAACTCTATAAGTATACCCTTACAAGACAATAAAAATGATAAGTAACATAGCAGGGATATCCCTGTCATAAAATAGTACGTTCAACCTCTGCCACAGGAAAATATATGTGCAAAATGGGCAGGTCAATATTTTAGGATAATAGTCAACAAAAATTATGTTGTCAACCTTTATTAATAATTTTATCTAATTGAACGCATTCAGCCCTGTGTATGCATTTTTGGTTACTTAAATCTCGTTATGCTCTAGAGTCTTGATGAATATATGCAGTTCAGGTCACACCGTCACTGCATTGAGCTTTCTTGCTACCTAGCTTAATTTGAGTCGGACTATCTCAGCTACATTTCTGTGTATCATTCCAGCCAGTAAGATTAAACCATTAGACCATATGCATTAGTTTGCTCGGTAGCTTCAAAACCGATATGTAGTGATATTCGCATGGCAACCAAGATTGGCCCTTGCTGACATCTTGCTAATACTAGCCGGAAATATCCTCCATTATAATATGTTCTTACTACATGTATTATAATTACTGAAAGTTCAAGTGATACGTTATTAGCTTTCTCGGAATTACGATATTTACTCTCTCCCCCGCCCATGTCTATTTCTTCATAATCATACAGTGTAAATGTTATATTTAAACGTAAACATATTTCACATTTAGTGAAATTACTGTAAATCACGGATGTAAAAATGTATTTTACTTACAGACTTTGGCATATCTTGGCAACCCCTATTTAAAGGATTTAACACTTATATCTAAAAGCGGTCATATGCAAATTTGGCCTACCTTTTGTTAGAGTTACTTTGGTTAAATTATCTTAAAATCTCATGACCTTTAACTTGCATTGTTTCAAGTATGTGCACTTACCAGTAACACATTCACTGTATGCATTCCATACTCCAGTGTCCAGGCATTCCGCAAACGAACTTTTCGACGAGGTAGGAACCCTCGTTACATTCATACCGAATTCTATTGCCGACTTCTCTAAGGTTCCCTAGAATTTCTCCGTTTTGAAGTGCTGTCACGTTAAAACATTCTGTAAATATATTCCTTAGAATATTTTATAAAGATAAACAAAACAGCTAGCTGCAAAAAATAATGAAAGTAGGGTTTAAGCGCGGATCGCTTGTTTTTATTTTAAGAACTTAAGTGTAATTTGTATTGTTCACTCTTGTGCTAAATTTGTTTGGAACATTTTTGGCGGATTATTTATTATTTCTGAAAAATTACGTTTAGTTGTACAAACACATGTATCTGAAGTGTTGTTTTCACAAACTTCCCCGTAGTGCACCCATTTTGACATGGGGTCTGAAAAAAAAGTTCTGTGAGATTATGAATTTAAATTAATTTGATTTTATCATTTTTCATTTCAAAGAGCTGATGAGTTCGACTTATATACGATCCGGACCATGTATCTATTGTAATATTGTTATCAAGGTCGTTGTCTAGGAGATAAAGTTGACGAGCTCAAATCGAATCATTAATTCTGCAGACGAACTCTACAGAAACAAAATCTATACACTTTCAAGTTTGAACAGTTTAATCAAAATGCTGGGCCTCTTAGAGGCATCAGTCAAATATTCAATAATATACATAGAATATGAAATATCATAAAAAGAGATGATTTTAACATAGCAATGCGAC